TGCTGTTCTGTATTTATAATCCAGTAGTTTTTAAATTATTGATTTTTATATTTTATTAACCTTTTAGTGTACGAAAAAAAAAAATTAAAGGTGGAGATTCTTGTTGCATTCTTTCTTTGACGGCGAGAACCAAATTCCTTATCAAACATCACTTGCAACGTGAAGAGCGCCTTGGACAAGGAAAGAAAATAGAGTGAACAAAAAAATAAGAATACTACTAATGTACTTTTATTCAGTAAAAAGAAAAAAGAAAAATAAAAAAGAGGGAAAATTTGATTTAGAAACAAAAGAAAAACCTTTTTTTTTTATCCTTCATTTTTCTCAATGCAAATTTTTAGATTTTCTTTTTTCATCTTATTTTCCTTCTCAGACAATCCAAGGATAAAAGTTAGTATGTAAACATTGTGTGTTTTTTTTTTTTTCCTTAAAATTGTAATTGTTGCTATTCCCCTCCCCAGCCCCAAGGGGCATTTGGTCATTGTCAGAGTCACCGACGCGGTTAATATGTTATGCACCTTTTTAAATTTAAATTTTAGTTATTGGGGAGGATTAACGAATTTTCGATCGATGAGATATTGACTTTACCATGAAGAGGGAATCCTGGTCCTTGTGGTAACCATTGTTGTTGATTTCACGTTAATTAGTGTGTAGAGCATTTATGACACAACCTTTACAAGGTGTAATTATATGTTGCCTACATTGATGATGGCTCTAAGTCTGTAACCATTACAACATTCAGTTTTTTTTTTTTTTTTTTTTTTTAAATTGATGTGATTTATATTTAGATGTTTTTTATAAAAATAAATTAGTAGTAAAATTCAGTATAAAATTTTTATTTAATGCACAACTACATAAAGTTATTTCAACTCAAAAACAATTTATATGGCATGCTATTATTAGGGTAATATGGAAAAACAAAAATAACTATGTATTTATTATGGTTGATACAAATGTATATCAAATGTTAGAAAAGATCTTGTTAACATGACAATGGATAAAAAGTTGGGATAACTTTTTCTACTCTTTAGCAAATTGATTGAAGAGTCAGTCTTTTACACATTTTATTTACCCATGAAAGATAGTGGGAAATATTATGAAGTTAATTACTCATACTTATTTTTGTAAGCATTAGCTATGTTTGTCTTTATTTTTATTTTTTTGGTACTCAAGGGTATATGTTGTAATGTGGCTATAACATATCACACTTGTTGTGGGTACGTTATTATCTTTAACTAATGAAATTATTATTTTTCTTTAAAAAAAGTCCTTAAAATTAAATATGTGAATATCAATCTAAAATCCCGTTATAAGTATTATTTATGTGAAAATTAAACATGTGAATATCAAAGACATACTTAAAATTTTGATAAAATTATTTATGTGAAACTAAATAATATATATAAGTATTATGAGATCAAACGAGATTAACCTGATTTGATGACATGAATCTCTCTTAGCCAATGAATCAACTATCTAACATGCTTATAGCTTAAAACAACCACACCCTCTACCATACTGGTTACTAAAATACACAAGGAGTAACAAGCATGGAGGCAGTTAACCCTGAATGGCTAAATTTGATTCAACCTACACCTGCTTCATAATTCTTTGTTGTTTTATACCTTTCAAACCATAGAAAACTACCCAAAGTTCAACTTGGATCATTAGACAGTTATCAAGCTTGCAAGAATATGCAAGGACAAATTTGCCCCAATTGATCTTGAATAATGCCTCCTGAGGATGCTTGCTTATTGTAACTAGGCATGGCAACGGGGCGGGGCGGGGGCGGGGAACGTAAAACCCGCCCTCGCCCTCGATACACGCTGGGGTTAAAATTTGGGTACCCATCCCTGTCCCCGGCGGAGTTCGGGTTCACCTGCCCCACTCCTGCTCCTGCTCCTATTTTTTTTTTCTTTTTTCTTTTACATAAATATGAACAATTTTTTTTTTCTTTTTTGCATATAAATATTTATAATTTTGGTTTATATATATAAAAATAATTTTTTAATTATATTATTAAGTGGGACGGGGGAAGGGGCGGATACGAGGCCGGAGGTAGGGGCGGATACGAGGCCGGAGGCGGGGTGGGTATTAACATCTCCGTCCCTGATTTTATCAATCGAGAAAAACCAGAATCCGATAAACACGAGTTTTCCCTGTTCAAATCGGGCGAGTTCTAGTGAGTACCCACGAGAGCATGTTAGATTGTCATGCCTAACTGTAATTGTCCCGTTGTAGTTCAGTTTGTTGACACCTTCCGTAGATGGAGTCCACGATATTCCTCCTTAGATAGTCATTCCAATCTTATAAAATTCATAAATTTTATTTTTTATGAATTAATCATTAAAATTGTAACGTTGGTTATAATATGAAATTAAGTAAATGATATGACAATTACAATTTAATAATATTTAAGTTAAATTATATTTTTTATTTTCATCTCATGTTATTATAAAAAATTAAAACTAAAAGTGAAATTCTTAGAATAGTGGATTAAGCCTAACTCAACCCTATAAAACTGGCTTGTAAGGTGAGGGTTGCTTTCCACTTATATACTATTTAATTGCCTAATCTCTAGTCGATGTGGGACTTGGGTTTTTTCCAATACACCCCCCTCACGTCCAGCACTATTGAGCTTGGTACGTGGATAAATGGTAGGTGACCCTTTTTCAATGATCTAGGATTGGCGGGACTTGAAATACACCCCCTCATGCCCATGGTGCATGTATCAATGAATGGTGGGTGACCCATTTTTAAGAATCTAGGATAGCTCTGATACCATCTTAGAATAGTGGATTAAGTCTAACTCAACCCTACAAAACCGGCTTGTAAGCTGAGGCTTGTTTTCCACTTATATATTATTTAATTGCCTAATCTCTAGTCGATGTGGAACTTCACTTGAGTTTTTCCCAATAGAAATTTAACTTAAATAGTAATGAATATTAATTGTCATGTCATCTAATTAATGTAAGACCATGACCAATATTATTATTTTAACTATCAATAGATGAACATTTAGTAAGAGGATAAAAATTGCATGTTTTATAAAATTGGATATTAAAATTACAAAATTCAAAATTTAGCGATCAAAATTACAAATTAATAACATAAAACTATATTTTAGATATTTTATAGCATATATTTTAAAATAAACAATGTTAATATAAATATATTACGATATATATTATCTATTAAGTCAATTTTTTAAAATAATTGATTAAAATAGTTTTTAAAGAGTTGAAAATATCATAAATAAGATTCAAAATATAATCTATTTAATTATTTTTTTAAAATATATTAAATCTAATTTCAAAATTTTAAAGAAGTCCTAATAACTACCTCTTAAATAAATAAGATTAGTAAGGAAGCACAAGTCATTAATATTCTTGACACTCCATTTGATTTCGAGAAAAAAGAAATAAAATGAACATTAGCTTCCCATGTTTTAAATTTTTCCTCCCTTTAATTATTTCATAACAACCAAACTATCATACTTATTTTATCATACTCACTTCTACTCTTTTTTTTTCGTCTCATTTCCTATTTATTTCACCTTAACCAAACATAGTGTAAAAGAATGAGATCTGAGTGAGAACTTCTACTGCCAGAATTGTATTCATTAGAAGCGAGTGATGTTTTGAGCATTGCAATTGAATTGTGCATTAACTTTATTTTTCCAAACGAAAATTAAAGACAGAAGGAATAGACAAGAGATAATGGATGACCAAGGTTTCTAACTAAAAACTGTCCTAATTAAGGTTTAAAAAGTTGTTATTCATTTTTTATGGGACACGACCTATATTTTTCTCAATT